GAGATTGGACTCAAAGGGGTGGGCACAACTTGAAGCATGGGAGTACGCTGTTTTCAGATTTCTTGTTCAATATTTACTAGCTGCAATAAGTATATTGGGATCAATTCATACAAGGCGTTTGTTCTTATTTTAAATGAGACTCCTGCAAATAAACGATGGATTAGACCTTAAGTTTGGCTCAATGGTTTTATAGTCACACCATAAGGTGCGGTGAGAGAAAGGTCAGGAGTTCAAACTGATGGTGTATCGATGACCCCGTTAGTTATAATTTAACTTTATTAACAAATTAATATCGTACAATTTTGGCATAAAATAAAAATTAAAAATTAAAAAAAAAATGTGGACGGTGAAATTAGTTTTTCAAAATTAGTTGAGATGCGCATAAATTAATTCAGACAACAAATTACTAAAATAAAAATAAAAATAAAAAAGTTATCCATCCGAACCTTCCAGTTTGCGTCGACAAAGCACTAAACTTGAGTTCATACATTGCAATCGACAGAGCATTTAGAGGCCACTGTGCCAGGCAAGCCTTATGTACTAGGCTAACATTTACTTTTTAAATTTTTTAGTTATTTATTTATTTTAACAAGTTATTTTAATTTGTGTGTTTAGAAAGGTAAATTGAATTTTTTTTTTTTTGACTAATTTTATTAAGAAAGTATTTAAAATGATATTTTTATATGAAATGATCAAACTGCCCTTACATGTAAGGCGTCATGTTCCAAAGAATTTATTGTTTGTGTTCTGACGCGGTCCGGAAGGGAAATTGGAGGTAGCTTTATTTTATTTTATTTTGTTGGTAATTTTTTAACAGAAATTGGGTGTATCTTCCGACGGCTGAAATGAGGTAATTTGGCAACCCAAAAAAAAAAAAAAAAAAAAAAAAAAAAAAACTCAATTTCTGAATTATAGGTAAATTTTAACGCTTTAAGAAAAAAAAAAATACAGATTTTAAAATTTGTAAACAATTATTAATTATTGTATCAACAAACCTTCTGACATTATTTTAAACTTTACCCATTATATAAATTATAAATTTTTTAAAATTCAACAATTATTACTAATTATTTGTTAGTACACTAAAATATACCAATTAGTACATATACCGTTATTTATTTGTTTCATAGTTAACTTGTAATCATAAATAAGAATGAAAAAAAAAATTGACAAACTTCTTACAAATTTAACTTTTAATTCTATCAATTCCAAAATTGAGATTCTTACAAATTTGGGCAACATTTGAATTGTAATTAAAAAAAGTAAAATATCCACACAATTACAAAATTTTCCTAAATTTGAATTGTGCTTGCACACATTACAAATACAACTATAATTATTAGTCAATTTGCCTAAAACTGTTACATTTAATTATAGCAATTACGAATTGAAATTAATTTCTAGTTTGTACGAAATGACCCTGTTAATGTTTAAAAATTAGAAAATATAAAATTTTGCAACTTTGTCACAAATGCAAATGGTACTGTTTAAAATTTACAATTTCAAAAAAATTACAAGTAGCCCAAAGAACCTACCTTCGCATTATACAAATGACAAACTACAACAAAAAAGTGCAATTTGTTTTTGTAAGAAATTTGACTTTGCATCAAATTTCGAAGTTTCCATTAAGTTCAAAATTGAAAGCAATTAGCCTTTTAATTATACAAATAACGAAAGAAAAAAATAGCAAAACTTTTCAGTATAGCTCACGTTTAAATCTTAAATTTACGAGTACCTTACAAACGTCTACGAGTCTTCAGTTACGAATATTATGCATTACGAACATTTCCATAAGTCCAAGTCATGCCACGAGGGTCACATTGCACAACAAATTTCCAAATCGAAAACAACATATTATCACTATAGTCCCTGACGACGTATATAAAATAAATGGTTCCGGATGCGAACGTGAACTCTTCTCTTATCCACACCCGTATCCCCAACCATGAGGTCATCGTCGAGATTTTCTTCGCCGTCTTCAGCGTCGAGCATGTCATCCGGCACTGATGAAACACCATAATGTTCGTCGTGGCCGTTGGTAGCTAGCTCATGTCTACAAATGAAATTGTGTAACGCCATTGATGCACCAACCAATAGCACCTGCACCGTCACAAAATCATAGTCCGGCATGTTTTGCAGGAACTTCAACCGCGATTTCCATACTCCAAAAGTCCTTTCCACCACACTTTTCAGTGACACATGCGCTTCATTAAACATTTCTCTTGGGTTATCGGGTCATCCATGTTCTCGGAATTGTGCTTGGTGATACCGAAACTCTTTAAATGGTGCCAGGTACCCCTTCTTGTTTGGATATCCCGCATCCACAAGATAATATTTACCTATATTTTTTCAACAAAACAATGACATACACATGACATAAACCCCAACTAGTACTGAATTTAAAATTTGTTACCTTCCCATAGGTGCAGGAACGGTGCATGCTCGTTTTCAATTATTTCCTTAAAGATGTGACTATCATGCATGCTTCCATCCCAGCCGAATGAGATAAAAATGGAGCATATGTCGAAGTCGCATACTGCTAGAATGTTTTGTATTGAATACCTTTTGTGGTCATAATATGTGCCCGCATCATGGGCAGGCAACATGGATTGTACATGAGTAATTCACTGTTTAAACTTGGTTTGAAATTTTTAATGAACTCGAAAATGTATTCATATTTGGTTTGTTTACTTAAGGAACTAAGCTTAACCGAACACGAGTTGAGCTCAAGTTGTTTGGTTTGTTTATCACCCCTAGTTGCAATTCAAATAATTTACTTTTTAGGTCTCGTTGAATAGAATAGTTATATAAAAAATCATAATAATTGGATATCAACAACTATATGTTTGAATTGTATTTTTTTTATTTTTTTTAAATAAATGCGATTCAAATATATAAATATTAATATTCAATCATATAAATTTTTTACATATTTTAATTTATAAATTTTAAAACGAGTGAACCAAACTCAAAAACAGTTTCAAATTCAAATTGTCATAATTTCTCATGCAAAGGCTTTATTATTATTATTATTATTATATGTAGGGCGGGTCTTCAGTTCGATATGAGATTGGATCGTACTATTGGATCTCTATGGACTCACAATAGAGTTCATATCGATAATTCGAACCGTTAATATATAGGACTCGTCAAATATTATATCCCTATAAAAAATTACATTGATAGAAATATAATCTTATCAAATAATTATCGATATTCAATCAATATAATTTTTACAATAATAAAATATTTGACAAATCTTACGGATTGAACGTTTTAAATTATTAATAAGGGCCGTTTTGAATCCACGAGACCCAAGAGTATAATTCAGTCCAATAAGGAACGGGATACAAGCCACACCCTATTATTATTTGTTTATTGATCATACGGAACAGTGGTTAACAATTATTTCTTAATTCTTGTCAATAATAAAAAAATAAAAAATAAAAAACAGTCGAAACGAATCAAATGCAAAATGGTCAACGAGATAAGATAAAAACTTTTTGCGACTGCTTAAGAGTGCAGAAGGCAGAGAAAATAATAATGATTGAGATCGTTAATTTTAGTGTTTTAATGAAATATTAATAATATGATAATGAGTAAAAAAATAAAATAAAAATAAATTAAAATTAAAACAACACATCAACATAGATGAAATTTACTGTCAACTCATTAAAACAACCCTCAGAACTCAAAAATTAACGCTCTGTTTGTTTGTGTTTTTGAAATATGATTCTACATAGTGATTTTAGAATGGTATTTGGAACGTGTTTTCAAAACACGTTTCCAAAACTCTGCAGAGTTCTCTACACAGCCACGCTTTTTAGATTTTTTTTTTTTTAAATTTTGCCTGACGGGACGTTCGGCCGGTCGTCCAGCCGATTGACCGGAATAGTAAATTTTTTTTTTTTTGGCAATTGATTTATATAATCGAAAAAAATATTTTCTGAATTTTTTAAAATTTTTTATGTGCTTTAAAATAATTTTGAGTTGTTTGTTTAGTTATAAGTTGTAAATTTTTGTATCACATATCAAATGTCACATCAACAATTCTCCACTCAAATCAAAACTCTTTACCAAACAAATTTTCTACACCCAAATCATAATTATACAACACACAAACTCAAAATACAACTCATACTCTCAGATCACATTTACAAAATCCTACCAAACACTACCTAAAATTTCAAATCACTTTTCGAGAAAATAATATGGCCCTGGAGCCCTGAGCAGCAAAGCTTTTTACAGCCCAAACACTGCCACAAAGACACAGATTGAATACCCAATGCTTCAATCAGGAGTCTCTACCATCAACATCAATGAATTCACGATTCCCCATAACCATTACACCTTACATACATGCATACCCATATTATATATATATATATAGAATTTCCCAGAGATTTATAAAAAGTAAGTGGAGCTTTGCCTTGAAAAAGATACAGATTCTTTTCTCTCTCTGTTATTGGCTTTGAGAGTGAAAAAGAAATAAAAAAGAACGTTTTTTACACTGTTCAAGTCTTTGTCGTTACTTTTACTCACCCGCCGCTGACTGCTAAAAAACACTTCTCAACAGTCTTTCTTAGCGAAAAAGTAAAAGCCAAAGTCCCCCGTTGCACCAAAAAAAAAAAAAAAAAAAAAAAAAAAAAAAAAAAGATTCTCAAGAAAATAATTGAAGATTAATATTATCGATTATTAAACAAAAAAAAAATTTAATGGGTGGTCAAGACTTTCAAGCATGCTTTCCCAAGCTCGATGATTAACAGTTGCTCAAAGAAAAATATTTGGTGATACCAATTTATGTGGTTCAAATGATCTGAAACTGTTAAAACAACGTCATTTTGATTTATTTTACACTTAAAACGACGTCGTTTTGACAGTTTTGAGTCATTCGAGTCACAGAATTTGTGACTACCTAACATTGCTGGTTGATCAAATTTGGGAATACTAAAAATTATATTTACATAAAATAACCACATACATGTAAAAAAAGAAAAAAAAAAAAGAAAAGACAAGTGTATTATTGGTGAAAGAAAAACACGTTCTGATTATCTAAATACAACAGAGATATGATATGATAAAAAGCTTTACACAGACCAACTGACTACTTTCCTCTACTTCATTTTTCTTCTTTTTTTTTTTTTTGGGTTGAAATCTCACCTAAACAACATTTACAGACAACTAGGCTTAAAAGTGAGAACTCATTTTCTAGGTGATAGACGACTGTTTGGTAGTCACTCACTTTGCTGGATCAAAACAAAAATCGAAAAAGATGATTCCACTACCCTACCCACCCTTACCCTCTTTGAACATAATTTTTTTCCCGCTTTTTAGCTCAATCTTCAAACTTCAACCTCTCAGATCAGACCCACCTCCTCCAAATACCAGTTCATTCGGGCTCTTCTTCAAAGAAATTCTGACCATTTCATGGATTTGATTTCTCGTGCGATGGATCGCTCACCGACCGCGACAGAAGAGAGGACTCCGAATCTAATATACCCAAAAAAAAATTAAATTAGTTATAATGTTCAATTATCCTTTTACACTAAGAAGAATTTAAAAAGACAAATAAATACATATAATATAATGATATTTTATTCTCATCTTACTTATTTTTCATTTTCTTTCCAAATTAGCATTAACATATAAACATAATCAAAAGAGAGATTCATTTACCTCTAGACGAGTTGAAAGATTTCTTGCAGTGTAGAATGGCGCTTTGAATCCCATCCTGTTGCTGCAACAGCGAATCGTCTCTCCGTCTCGTCTGAACCGACCCAGAAGTCGGCGCCGCCGCCACCACTGCCGACGCCGACCTGCTCTTCCCCAAATGCTTACACACCACTCTCAGCCCCGCCGGAAAACTTCCCTGTTTCTGACCCTTCACGTTGCTCGCCGCCGGAGCCAGTTGTGGGTCCCCCTTTGTTGGTTCTAACTCACCCTTCGCCGCCGATGCCTTCGGCGGTGGCGATTTTTGCTCCGCCGTAGCCGGCGGTGATGGTGATGGTGATGGTCCTGACTTCGATCCCCCCAAGCTCAACTGTCCTGAAAAACCCAATTTCTCGCCGTAACGCTTCGAGACCCGGACGTACAAAGGCTTAACCATCTTCAAATACTTGTTCATCACATCCTTGGAGAATCGCTTCTCATCGGAAACCACCGGTTCGTCTAAGCTCTGTTGCTTCTGACACTTCTTGTTGGTTCCCGAAGAAGCTCGAGAACTATTGTCTCTGGTGAACAGAGACACAATAGGCACTTCCTCAACCTTAAACTTCACTGTAAAATGCTTGCTCTCTGATTGATTTTGATTCTGATTCTGATTCTGTTGTTGTTGTTGCTTCTGCTTCTCAGGCTCTTCCTGTATTTGCTCAGGCTCTGTTTTCTCACCAACATTCGACTTCGATTTTTTGAATTTCAGCATCAGAACTCGAAACTTGGTGGCCGATTTCAACAGAGAGAATTGGGATTTCGAGTTTGATTCAGAGTCAGACCCATTGAAGACAATCGAAGAGGGTTCGACCGGAACTAGTCTTCCCTTGAAGAACAGATCGTCAGAGGGAGAGAGCGAGACGTTTGGGTCAGTACGCTCACCGCTCGAACCGGACGAGAGAGTGAACTTGAACTCACTCTCCATTCCATCAGACTCGATATCATCGTCTTCTCTCTCTTCATCCCCATCGTTGACCTCGTGCTTCTCTTGCTCGTCTTCTTCGTCCGGTACGGTGAACTCCAAGTCGAAGAATGGTCCGTCATCTTCTTCTTCTTCGTTGTCGTCGTCGTCTGTTGACTCTGCAGAGTGGTGACTCACGGCGGTGACAATGGTTGTAGTGGTGGAGGAGCGGACATTAGCGACGCCGTCTGCGGTGGCGCCGCCGCCTCTCCAGTACTTGAGCAAGCTAAACGCTTCCATGGTTGGGAGAGCCAGTATATAAGATATTAGTGAAGTAAAAAAAACTTGATAGGTCTTTTATAGAGAAAAGAAAGGAAAGTTTGAGGAGAGAGATAGAGAGGGGAAGGAAGAGTGGTGGAGTGTGTAGTGTAATGGAGAGAGAGAGAGAGAGAGAGAGAGTAGTAGTCGTACTGGAAATGGAGTGTGGAGAGAGAGAAAGACCAAGAAAAAATAATCAATTTTTTTTTTTTAGTTTTTTGAATTAAATTTTTTAGAAATTAAATTTTTTTATTTTCGTATTTTTTTATTTTTAATAAATATTTTTAAAATTTTAAATATTTTTTTATTTTTTTAGATACATCTTATTAAGGGTCCGTTTGGGAAGAACTAAAGTGGCCTTTTTTGACTATTTTAGCCACAAAAGATAAAATAGGCTATTTTAGCCACAAAAAACAAAACATCACATCCAACTCATAATTATTACACTCTTCTCTCACAAAAAAAGTCAAAAAAAGCCAAAAAGCCAAAAAGTCCTTTCCAAACCAAACTTTTTAACCCAGGTTAAAATAGCCAAAAAATCAAAAAGCCAACTCACTTCCCAAACGGAGGCTAAGATATATCTAAAAAGTAAAAAAATTGTGAAAAAATATTATAAAAAAATAATAAATACATAAAAATGTACTGAATTCTTATATTTTTTTATATTTTTTATATTTAGTGAATTTTTAAAAGATTTTTTTTACAATTTTTTTAGTTTTTAGGTGTAGTTATGTTAAGTGTGTTTAAAAAGTAAAAAAATTGCTCAAAATATTAAAAAAATTTAATAAAAACAAAAAAAATACGAAAAATAAGAAAGTAGAATTTTTTTTTTTTTTTTTGGGTGAATAACCAAAAAAAGAAAAGTTACACGGGTTTCGTTTGGGATTGGGTTAATTTTTTAGTTTGGGATTAAAATAGTTTTGTTTAAGATGAATTTTTGATTTTTTTAATGTGTATGAGAGAAAAAATATAATAATTATGATTCGTATATGATAATTTTTAGCTTGATATTAAAAATTAATTTTGTCTTTTTGTGGTTTAAATAGCTCCAACCCAGGCCAAACTGCTGATACTTTTGAGATTTAGATTTAGAGAAATGTTTGGAATTCCTTTTTTTGGGGGTTTCATGATCCTAATTTAATATTGGCCCTTAACGTGTCATATATGTGTGAATTCTATATTATGAGTGGTTGAGATGAGAATGGGGTTGTAGGGGTCATGTATGTGTGGGGATCTCTATCACTACATACATTAACATTTGGAAAATTAGGGCCTTGTTTGGTTTAACTCTCAAAGCATAATTTTTGAAAAAAAAAAAATTTTGGTTGGAAAAAAAATTTCAAATTCACTTTTTCTCTCTTACACATCAATCAATTATTTTTTCTCTCTCCTCTCTTATTCTCAATTACTTTTTCTCTCACACACATCTATTCAACTATAACAAAATATCAAATCATCCCATATTCCAAAACAATTTCTAAAATATACAACCAAATAAATCAAAAAAAATTCCAAACTCTATTTCCATTTTTTTTTTTGAAAATTTATTTCCCAAAACTAAACCAAACACACCCTACCTTCTTACTCCTATAGTTAATAGTCTCATTTTACAAATTTCTTCCTTAAATAAAAGATAACAATTCTTGGTGAAAAAATAAAAAAAAAATTATGCTGAAAAAGAAAGTAAAATAAAAGAATGAAAAAATAGAAAAAGTAAAGTAAAGTAAAGTAAAATAAAATAAAATTAAAACAAAAAGAGTATATGAATTTAATGTATTTTTTATACTAACGTTAATTTTTTTAAAATAATTATAATAACAGAAGAGTCTGTATAATTTTCTAAATGTTAATTTGCCTCCGTTTGAAAAGTTGGTTGATTTTTTGACTTTTTGATTTTTTGGCTATTTTAGCCTGGTTTGGGAAAGACTTTTTGATTTTTTGACTTTTTTGATTTTTTTTGTAAGAGAGGATTATAATGATTATAAGTTGAATTTGATATTTTATTTTTTATAGTTAAAATAACTTATTTTATTTTTTATGATTATTTTAACCAAAAAAATCTGAAACGGATGAAAAATATGATATGTATTAAACCAAAATTTGAGAAGTGTGAGTGTAATTTACCTTTTTTTTAATTTCCCTTTTATTTTGTGGTATACGTGGTTGCAGAATAAGCATGTGAGACCAGTCTGCGTGTCAGATGTATATATGTGTGTGAAATTGTACTCAATCAGACTGACATTTGTGGATTTTTTTAGATGTGGTGAACCTTGAGCAAACTAGTAAAATTATTTTAGGTTCCGTTTGGGCGAGAGATAAATTAATTAAATAAATAAATAAGATAAAATATTATATTATATTTAAATTATAATTATTCATTTTTTATTTTTTGTTTCACAATTATCATATTCAAATCAAAAAATAAATAAATAAAGTCAATTTAGTTAGATTAAATAAATTCTTCTCAAACAAAGGTATAGAAGAGTTGAAGATAATTTTTTCTTCTTTTTTATTTTCTAAATACTCAAAGTTATATGAGTTTTTTTGTGAATATTTTAAAAAAATAAATTATTTTTGTAAATAACTAACTTTTCAAATTATTTATCAAACTAATCCACTTTTTAAAATCATAAATTTAAAATACAATTTCGTGGTGAAATCGTATCTTAAATATGTAATTTCATATTAAAATAGTCCACATATATGCATCAGTAAGTTACGTTAATATAAAATCGTATTTTGAATTTGAAATTTCATTATGAACTTATATTTTGAACTTGTGTTTTTAAAAAAGTATGCTACTTTGATAAATAGTTTGAAAAGTGAATTATTTTGATAAATAGTTTAATTTTTTAGAATATTTATATATAAATAAAATATAAAATAAAAAATAAAAAAACCTCAATGTGATATAGGGTTAATAAGGTTTTTGTAATGTTCGAAAAGGCAAACGAAAATCATGTAGGCTTGAGAGAAAACTAATATCGATGTCAAAGTAAGAATTGTAATTCTCTCTATTTTAAAGTTGTGAGGAAAATTTTTAATTTTATCTTAATGTTTGAAATATATTTTTTTTTAATTTAAAATAACGATAATTTTGTATGATTATTTTACAATTTTTAGATAATATAATAAAATGAATCTCAGTATGTGGCGTAGAAAAGTCAATAGTAACAGAATCATTTTGTTATTATGCAGTAAATAAACACAAATAATAATGTGTCATATATATAACTTATTTTAGCAACCAAAAAAAACATGAAAAATATATTGAGTAGCATGGTTGTTTTACAATTTCAAAGAATAAATAAATAGACAACGTTAATTTTGTCTTATTTGCAATGGTCTAAACTTTTTTTTGAACAAGGTAAAATTCATTAAGGAGAAGTCAAACGGCACTTACAAATGGATTCCATACCAAAGCAGATAGAGCTTACACTAAACAAAAGGAAAATGAGCAAAGAGACACATGGATAAAGCTAAAATAGCGTCAAAGACATGATCAAAACAAGATCATAACCCGTACTGCAACGCAGGAGCGATCATAAGAGATCAATACTAGGGTTAGTCAGAGTTACTACAAAAACTTTCACCCCAAAGAGGGTGAGCTACCAATAAACACACCCATGGAGTCCAAACAAACAAACAAACTAAAAAAAAAATTAAAAAAAATAAAAATAAGGCTCAAAAAGCAAACTGAAGCCATAGATCTGGAGAGTGGGAGTTATCAGATCTGGTGGAGGATGGCCGCGGCGTGGTGATGGTGGCTTCTGCGGCGAGAGAAGGCGAATGGTGGTATAGATCTGAAGGGATAGAGGAAGTTAGCAGATCTGGTGGAGAGATGGTCGCGACGTGGTGATGGTGGCTTCTGCAGCGAGAAATGGCGAAGAGCTGTAGAATCGGCAGCGAGAAACGACGATCTTACTCCGGCTTGGAGGGGAAGGAGGAGAAAGCTCAAAAAAATTCACCCTAAAGGAAAGAAACACCTCAAAAAGAGGGAGAGATTGGAAAGAAAAAACTCCCAAAGATTATTTTGCAAAAAATAAAAGAAAAAAGAGGAGGGAGGTGGCCGGAGAGAGGCTGGAAACCCCCTCCCCTCTCAAGCGGCACACTCTCTGAAAAAACCCTAAGAGAGAAAGACTTAGAGTGCAATGGTCTAAACTTGAAGCACAAAACTAGAACAAATGAGCATTTATTATTGTACCAGGTTGTTAGGTTTTATTCTTGGCAATCCCGTTTGACAAAACTCCTTTCAGTTGTATTTATTTTTGCACTTTTTATTTCAGTGAGGCTATGAGTATTTAGATGCGAATCCAACCCGAATTGTGCTTTTAAGAGAAGTTTGTGATGCTAATGCTTTCAAGATTGCCACTTCGCTGATTATGACGGGGATTGAGCTGCCAGGTCAGCTCGCGGGGGTCCAGGGGGCAGCGCCCCTTGGCGGGTTCGGGGCAACGCCACGGCTGGGTCGAGGGGCAACGCCCCCGAAGCAGAATGCAAAAATGCATTCCAAGTTGCCTGTCCGCTCAAGCGGACATTCCCCCGCTCGAGTGGAGAATTCCTGGTTCCAGCAGTTTTGGTCGCCTGCAAAAGTACTGAGATGTGTGATTTCGCGCTCGAGCGGGCTTTCTGGCGCTCGAGCGGACCTCTGTTATATGGCGCGCATATTTTGCTGACGACGCTCGAGCGGGCTGTTGGGCGCTCGAGCGGAGATTGCGGGACAGATTCTATAAATTCGCGTGTTGGGTCAGATTTTAGGATTACTACTCCAGATCTTCTTTTTGGGTTCTAGGGTTTATATCTGGGGATACTTTGTGAGTTTTCTTTGATGTTTTATTGAGTATTCAACTCATGGTTTAAAGAGAGTACATCAAAGGTTGTGTTTTGTTCTACAAAAGAGAGAGTTGTTCTTCGATGGATTCTGAAGAATTCGAGCCTGAAGCTTTGGTGGATTCCGGGGTGGCTCATCGTAAAGACAATTCCAAGGTGAAGACGGGTTGGAAGAGGCACATAGAGGTTGGTTCAATTAGGCGTGGATTCGCTAGGTAATTGAGAGTATACCTGTGTAATTCCTTTAAATCTTCTTAGTGGATTGTTTTGTGGCTGTTGCCCGTGGTTTTTGATC